GGCCTACCCCCAGCAGCCCAGGAAGTATTTGTTAGTCATTTCTTGTGTTGCTTTGTTTGCGATTATCCCCATTGTTTACGAAGGCTAGCTTCAGTAAAGTCAGTACAGGCCTTGCTGCTGTTGCTAGACTCACTTTGGGTATCACACCACTATCGTTGCTACTGTGATTACAGCTGCTTCCACTGATAGACTGTCACTTCATACCCCGTCGCTTTACTACAGGGGCCTAAATGATTACCAATATCATCTTGAGGTCCATCTGAGGTACCATAGACCATAATTACATAACGAATATGGAGCCATAGTAATATTGATAACTATTCAGGCCCCTATGTTACACAAGGTCTCTCCTGATTAACCCAGTTCGCCAGACTCCGCTAAGAGTGCCGCGGACGCGAGCCAGAAGAGATGGTGACGTTGAGGAAGTGTTGCTCGAGACCTCAGTGGTTCTGCATGATATAGTCCCCCTTAAATAGATAGAATCGGGCTTTGGGTATATTACAAGAAGATCCGCATATACCCCATATTCTATCTACCTAAGGGGGACTATAGTTCTAAACTGCAAAATTGGCTGAGCGTGTGCCAGCTGAATACATGCCAACACCGGAATCCGTGAGCAAATTCTTGCAGCTAGCAGGGATACTACTGTGTGCACGTACATGCGGACTCGACGTCTGGCACAAAATGTCTGGTCTGGGGGTTCTGCTGTCCTCTTTGTCTCCACGAGTTGCCCTGCCCGCAGCGCAAGTAATGGCACCACTCTTGCACGCACATGATTGCCCTTAGCACAATAAGATGTCAGCTGGCCTACAGTAGCAGGTAATAAGATCTATATGAGCCATAGTCTAAACTCCTTAAAAGTGGTTATAAGGCGTTGTATAGGGGACTACTATAGGGATTATTCAGGGGATACTGGGAGTCTAAACTACGGCTCATATGAGAGCCAGGGAAAGGACAGGAAAGGGTTGTTTTACGCAGAACTTCTCCAGGTAATCCCCCAGTCCCCCCATCCCTGACACCCCTCCCATCATCAGCTGAGGCAGACGCGTGCATGTACACTTTCGGGCGGCCCGTCATCAGCGACGAGATCCCGATACGCAGCCTACGTTTTCCATGAGAAGTTACCAGCGCATGTTCCTCCCCCAAGGTCATGCTGAATTGGAGGGAGCTGTTCTTAGCATTCTCTGTGAGAATCATCATATCTCCAAACAGTGATCATGCGAATGGCCAGAGCAACCTTAGCAGCACTAGCAGTGATCGGAACAATATATACAAAAGATCCTCCTGGCAAAATCACCAGTAAAACCAAAAACAGCACCAATAGCCATGCCAACAGTATTCGGACGAAGCCAGTGATGACAAACGTAGCACTATGTAGCACTGACACACTCTACTGTGTGAGTAAAGGCACTATAGCAGTAGCCGTAGGAGTAGGAATAGTGGTCGCCGAAGTCGTAGTCGCAGTCAGCGCGAGCAGCACTAGCACTAGCAGCACTAGCCCGAGCAGCAGTGGCAGCAGTGGCAGCAGTAGCAGCACTAGCAGCCATAGCAGTCGCAGCAGCAGTAGAGCAGTAGTAGCAACGCCAGCAGTAGCAGTAGCAGCAGTAGTAGCAGCAGTAGCAGCAGCAGTAGCAGCAGCAGTAGCACCAGCAGTAGCAGCAGCAGTAGCAGCAGCAGTAGCAGCAGCAGTAGCAGCAGCAGTAGCAGCAGTAGCAGTAGCAGCCGTAGCGGCAGTAGCAGCAGTGGCAACGGCTGTAGCTGCAGCAGTAGTGTGGCAGTAGCAGTAGCAGCAGTAGTAGCAGCAGTAGCAGCAGCAGTAGCAGCAGCAGCAGCGTAGCCATAGCCGTGGCAGTCGCAGTAGGGGTAGTGGTAGGAGTAAGCAGCACCAGAAGCAGCAGCAGCAGCAGTACATAGTAGTTGTTGTTGTTGCTATTATACTTAGTAACGGTCGCCGTCATCTCCACCTCCGCAGAAATACGAGGTAGCGGTAGTAGCAGGAGGGTCGTCGTCTTTAGCATAATCGGCGTCGTCGTCTCTGTAGTTGTAATGGTGACAAGCCATAAGGTGACAGCGTCGTGGTGGCGGCAGCAGCAGTTTTGGTGTCGCAAATAGCAGTACCACAGTAGCTAGCAAGCTGCGAACAAGTCCTCCACAAACTTCTGGAAGGTTGCCAGAAGGTGGCTGCGCTTCTCCTCATCAGCCAGTCCGACTATTTAGGTTCCTACGGTCACCTCCCCCAAGGCTTAGATTTTGAGAGTTCAGCGATGCTATTGTGGCAAGAACCTCAAACATGGGAAGTCCAACTTGGATTGGGGTGTGAAAGGCGGATGGAAACTCCTATGGCTTCATCTCCTCCTAAAGAGACTAGGAGCAGGTCACCAATGTCAGATATTCTATGTGACATCGAATCCTGCTGCCTTAGATTGTTATCCGATTTTGTGCATTGGAAGGTGGCTTGGGCTCGACAAGCCCTCCGAGCCAGAGTGTCCCCCAGCGCAAATACGCCGCATATCTTCAAGACCCAACAAAAAACATATTCTTAATCTTTTTGGATAAGTAGAACACATTGGATGCTCCAACGCCCGGCAGCTCCTTCGGCAAAGAACTGCACTGCTGCAAGACCTGCACAGGGAGGTCTCCCAGCGAGATGCCCCTGACAACGCAACTGCCTGGATTCAAATGCAACCTAGCAAACATAAAGCAGCGCTCTTTTCACCAGGTAGTCGGGAGCTCCAAAATTGTCCGGATAGACGATTGAGCAGGTTGAGCTTGTCTTCCGGCACGGAGTTCGTGTTGTTGCTTTGAAGAGTTCTTAAAAGGGCCTAACGGCCAAAGCTCAGAAGCCCAAACATCAAAACTGATGGCACAGCGGCCGTGGAGGGAGGATTGCAAACACCTAGGGTGCTTGAAGAAAGTAAGATTTAGAGCGGAGGCGCTGTGGCCAAGGCTCTCATTTGGGTTGCGGCGGCCGATCTGCCCGTTGATGACCCCTAGGGTGTAAGTTTAGAGTTTAGGGCCTGAATAAGCTTCCTTGAACTGTCCGCTGGAGGTAAGAGTTCAGAGGGCCTCACAAATAGGGCCTCATGCACAAAACCGCAGCTCACAGCTAATGAGTTTGGAGATTTTTGAGGAAAATTCCTGCACAGCGTAGGATTCCGCTGTGTCGGTGGCGGACCGGGCCTCACAGACGGCACAAAGCTCCCAGCCATCCAAACACAGCAAAGGCGGGATCATCAGCATTCTGATCACTATGATGCTCATCACCAACACTAGGAAAGAAATGAGTACACCAGCAGCGATGCTAGAGCAATAGAATGGCACTTTCAGTGTCTTAGCCGCTAGCAGGATAGCAGGATAGCAGGATGGGCAGCGAAGCAACACGAGCTTTGCCCAGGTGATCTTCATGCGTCTGATTTCATGCACTGCAGCTAGTGTTGCTGCCGTTCCCTGGCAGTGTAAGTTCAGAAAAATGCCAAGGAGCCTAGAGCTTAGATGTGGAAGAGCTTGTCGTACTCTCCCTTCTCGTAAACAGCCGCATTCCTGGATGTAATCGCACACTTTCTTTCTGCTCAGTGCCAATTCTTGTTAAGTCGGCTAGACCCTTGCTGGGTTGCTGTTAGGGAAATTGAATTAAGCTACCAGAACATGGGTATATAATAGATGACAGGGTTTCCTTAGTATAGGCAATTAACTTAAGTTGAAGCTGATTGAATCCGCGAATCTTCAACATGGCTCCGGTTCTAAGAGGTAATGCAGTGTGCCTCATTCAAAACAGAGCTTAGGATTTCCCTTGAACCCTTAACCCGTCACATCCAGAGAATGAAGCCCTGCCTCAAGGATCGACCCCCTTAATGCATCCTCTACATCACTGGAAAAAAAGTATGTGAAAACTGGGCCACCAGTGCTCATGGCATCAATACTGAGGCCACTAAGGGAGTCCTTCACCGCTTGGCCAAACCCTATCCGAAACTGCTTAGTAGTGTGACAGAGCCACATGTCCCACCAGTGCACCTACTGCATCTATGGGCTGCGAGAAGAAGCACTGCACACAGCCTTCCTTCTCAGTGGGACAGATTCAGCTCAACGTCTTGTCTGGGACTCTGCAGTACCCCATCTTTGAGGACGGGAACTCAACTAGAACCTATTGCCTGGCCCCCAGAGCTCACGACCACGCTCTACTTCAAAGCATATTCAGCCATGGGCAATATCTACACAAGACTCTGTGGGGATCTATCAACTTGAGAAGCCCTGCAAAGCCCCCAAGCCACCATCCCGAACCGTTGGATAAATTGCAGAGCACGTTAAAACTCAACAAAAGAGATGTGTTCAAATATAGGTGGAGCAGCGTTACATATCTTGCAGGCTCCTCGCCTATGAAGTCCAAGTGACATCTTGTCCATGGCAAATCCATGGGCTTCCATCCATCCTTTGCTCTTGACTGGCTGTTTTGGACGGGGTGGTATAATGGAAAATAAGACGGAGACTACTAATTACAATGGCTTATGTAGGGATTATAAGATATGTATACGGGTTATAACGGGATAATGGAAAATAAAATGGAAACTACTACATTATATTTGGGTTATATAGGGGTTTGGGGGCATCCAGTTTGAGGCTGAGGGTTGTGCACACGCCTGGGTCCCAGCCCCAGGATAGACTTTAAGAGGATCCTTGCTGCAAGTCGTGAACATGTGAACTATAGTCTAAACTCCCAATATGGCCCTTAATAACCCCTATAGTAATCCCCTACATAATCCCCTTTAAGGTAGTGTTAACCTATCATCAGTTATAGAGGGGGTGACAATTGAGTATTACCGCCGGGCCAGAAAAATCCGGAACACCTAGTCCTACACCCGCCCCTCTGGTCTTTTTTTGCAACGACCCCCCTGCGTAGACCAAAAACGCAAAACGAGCTCTGGGTGGGGGAGAGGTATGTCAGATTAACATTATTCAGGGGCTCCGCTGAACACCTGAGCAATGAAACTGACCTGCCAAGGTTCCATCATCCATGAACTTGCCTTGGTGGCCAGAAAAGGAATGCAGCAAGAATGCATCACAAAATCAGCCGTTTCTCCCATCATCACTCCAATGCAGCTTACGAAGTTAGAGCTTCTGTACCCGTAAGTCATCACTGCTTTCAGCGGCCAAAATCTTGTCATCTACCCAGCCAGTGAAAACCACTTGTCAAAGCAACTCCTTTCCATAATTCATAGTACAATGATCCAGGCTGCTCATGTAGTTTCGGGATGAGTCGGCAAGCAGCACAGCGCAGCGCTTGTCCTGAAGTTGAAAGCGCACAAAAAACCGGCACATATCAAAAAAAATGGTCGTGATAGCAAAGTGTGCCTTCAGTATACTGCCCCAAGGCCACACAGGATGGCAAGGCAAAGAAGTCACACTTTGCATGGGAGCCCTCGCTCTGATTGACCAACTGTGGACTCCGGACTCTTGTTGTTCGCTCCACCCTTGAACCTGCAAGACCTCTTTTTATCTGCTCTGATTGCTACAGCATTCCAACCTCGCCTTGCCGATCTTGTTCTCTTTGATGAAGCGGTAGGCTCCAGCCACGGTGGATCCGCAGCTGCCGCCGATCAGCAGACCCTCGTGACCTAAGCATGACCGGGCTTAGAAGAACTCCAATCAGAATCACGGAAAGCCAAAGAGAGACTAGTGATAGTACAAGTACAGATGCCATGATTGCAAGAATCATGATTCTCATAAAGGCACTCGCGACCTGCCAGGGGCCCCTGCTCAGAAGCTTCGGACGTGTCATTCTGGCCGAACGCAAGAAATAAGAGCCGTGTGTTGGAATACAGGCCCGTATCAGGAGCGACAAAGTAATGTCTGCATGCAGTCAAGAAAGGATAACAACGGTGCTACGAGTAATTGCCAGGGGGAATGGTCAAAATGAAGGTCCATGTCGATCAACAGACAGATTGTTGGCTGAAGCGCAGCGAAGCGGCGGACGATGGCACGGCACATGGCAAAGGCTTCGTCATCGTCAGTCTTCACCTGAAGTAGGCCACATAAATAGCCAGCACACCACTACGTATGCCGAGATATCTTCCTGTTCCAGTCACCACCACCACCACCTCCTCCTGCTGCCGCTCCAGCTTCTCCAGCTTCTACTACTACTACTACTACTACTACTACCAACTTCACATCCTGATGTCCAAGAGGCCCAGTGGTCAACGACCTCCCTGTCGAGGACGGTGGGGATGAAGTCGTAGCCTTTTCTAAGCTGCATACATCATGAGCCCTGAAAGAAATATTGCCAACCGGCCTTTAGATCCTGCAGCATCCTCCTCCAGGGCTAGCCATGTGGTCGACATTTCGGTTTCCCAATGAATGGATCCCAATTTGGCACATAGCCTCTGCTACACACCCTAAACCCTAAACCCTAAACCCTAAACCCTAAATGGGATCTACCCTGGGAGTCCCTGCGGCACACCCCGGAGAACACCTGTAATCACCAATGTCATGTTGAGGTCTATTTGAAGTGCCATATACCATACTATACCTATGCAAAAAATGGGAGTTTCCCAAAATAAGGTGTACTTTTTGGGGGGGGGTCCCTAGAATAAGGACTTTCGTATTTTGGGGTCTATATTGGGGTCCCTCTATTTCGGGAAACTGCCAAATCTAGGAAAAGAATGTTGGTAACTACTTGGGCCTCTACGATAGAGTCATCAAGCATCTGCATGCGGGGAGATGTGACTACAGCTCAACATGTTAGCTTCCCTTCCCTAAATAGGGGGACTTCAATATAGACCCCATGATACGATGGTCCTTATTATAGGGAATCACAAAAAAGTAGCCCTACTTCTGGGAACTACCCACATGGCAGAGAGGGACCAGTGAAATGAAGCTAGCTTCGATGCAGAATATGTTGAACCACAATAGTCCCGCGCCAGAACAAATCCGAAAGAGTCAAACAAAAACACAAATCGCAAGACAAATGGGATCCTCACTTAATCTGGCACAGTGTTCTTTACTCTGCTGGCAAGGAACCAATGCCCTCCACCTGGTAGGCACTCAACCTGAAGAATCGTCGTTTCCACAAAGGTCATCTAGGGCTACAGCTTCGTGTAGTGCTATATGAGCCATTGTCGAAACTCCGCATATGCCCCTTAATAACCCCTGTAGTAGTCCGCTATAGAATCTCCTATAACCCCCCTTTAAGGCGTTGAGACTACAGTTTATATACAGGCCTTCTTTGATGTGTGTAGGACCTACAGGATGCCAACATTTGTTCACACGGAGGGTGTCCCTACGAAACAGGATGAGATACTGGGGTAATATTGGGGTTATATTGGGTTATATAGGGGCTATATAGGGATAATGGAAAAGAAAGTGGATACTGAGATGCGGTGACTTCGCAAGGATGTTGTTAAGGTTGTCGTTCACCGAATGCTTCGCAGCCAGGACGTGACGTGCGACTTTCAAACGCATGGTTTTGATTCTCTTGATGCCTTCAAGTGCGTGCCCGCAAGGTGCCCGAGAAGAAAAACACACACACACACACCCGCGCGCGTGCACACACAGTCTTTGCTAGTGCTTATTCCCTCTTCTATGCTGCAAGGCCCTGGGTCAAGAAGTGTTCTCCAAGGCCACGAAGGTTGAGCCAGCACAACCCCTCAAAATGGGGAAGCAAATGGCACAGCTCAGAATGAAATCAATATCGGGACTTACAGGGATATACCAAGGACACAGGGGAATAGAAACAGTGGAAGCTACTATATCATTATTGGTATTCAGGCAGTATTAGAGACTGGCAATAACACGACTAATGGTAATATAGAACAAAAAAACATAATGCATTTGGCCATGCAGAATCTTCTGCCCTCAGACTGCAGTCTGGAGACTTCTCCTGCCCCGTGCGGTTAGACTTGTCGTTGACATGGGCGGGCTCGGCCTCAGCCATGTAGCAGAAATAGAACTAGAAGTAGTATTGAAGAGGGAGTAGTGGCAGCAGTACTACTTGTAGTACGAGGGGTGCGGGGAGTAACGGGAACCAATTTGGGAGTACAGGAAACCGCGTGTCTAAGCCTGCAACAGTACTGTAACTGTCTGTGCGAGCATCGGCAACTGGAACGGCGACGTAACCGCAACTACTACACGAGAGAGCCGAAACCGAAAGCAGGACATCCGACACAGCACTGGAACCTCGCAAAGTGGGGGACCGAAAGCTGGTCAGGCTAGCAAAAAAAACATCGGAAAGGCAGACTGCAGCCAAGCGTGCGCCGGGTAGATCTGAGAGAAGCTTTCAGTTTAGGCTAGGGATTGAAGTTATGTTTAGAGCTTGAAGCCTTTGGTTGGTTTTGGTTGAAGGTTGAGGCCTAAGGGCTGAGCAAGGAGGGTTGAAGGTGTAGCTTCATGGAAGGAGTCCGGAAATCCCCAAGTGCAATGCTGTAATAGCTATGACCGGATGCGCCTTTCTGAGGCACTGGAGCTCGGTCCCCCTCTTAAAGGCTTTCAGCGGAAGCCTGTGGCTGGGAGGTCCGGCCTGGCTAATGGCATGTTACAGGAACAGGCCGGTTCTGCTTACAAGTCCAGGCCTGGTTGCCCTTACTTGAGCCCACGGGCAGGGGGGACGAAAGCTTAGAAACCGCAAACTGGTGCATGCATTTTTTCATGAAGCAACGGAGCGCGACCGGCCTCCGCATGCCCAAGAACAGCTTCCAACGTGCCAAAAAGCTGCCGCCTAGCGTCCCAAACAGCCTCCATAGCCCGCGCTACAACATCCCAAAACCGCATCGAGACAGACCCCTCGTCATGCGTATTTTCGAGGCCCGCACGCTGGCCTTCCAAAAACCCTCCTGCCATGGGGTCTGGCCCGCAAAAACACGGCAAAATTTGACCATTGTTGGGGGTTTTCCCCTCCCCCACACCCCCTGAGTACAGATCAGCAAAGCTGGACTCAGACGAAAGCTTGAGCTTTCGTAACAAGTCACTGTTACGGACAGCCGATTCCGATTACTGCCAATCCTCTCAGTACTGGCACGAATGCTAGTACCAGTTGGTACCGGAGCCGCACCATGATTCAATGATGGTGAGCTGCCTGATGCTCTCAGTCATTTGCCATAGTCAACTAACTCTTCCTCGGCCAAGTCTCCCTCACCAGCATGTGAGAGAGTCTTTCAGAAGCAGGGGCACTTACTGTAACATCCATCCTAGAGATACAGGAGCTCGACACGAATGTTGCAACAACTTGCCTTTATGTTCTAAAACATGTCCCCGACTCAGTCCAGGGCAAGGATGCTGCCATATGGGTCCACACCGACGACCTCAGCTGAGTTCCGTTAGCATATTACGAGACAGTAGCGGATTCTGCCATAGTAACCAGACAGTGTTTTAGGCTATATATAACCTGATTACACTTCCTTGCCTAGCACATGCGCACCAAGAGTAGCTCCAGCAGGGGGCTGTTTTTGAAGGGAAGAAAGGGCTTGGATTTCACAGGGACTTTTAGTCACTTACACAGTCCTTCCAAGGCCTGCGGAATCCAACCACTACATCCAGGGGCTGCAGAATACTCCTACCTCAACTTAAGGGCTGCTCATGTCGGGACAGGCATGTGCAAAGAAGTGGCCTGGACGCCAGGGATCAGCTCCTCCAGGGTGCAGCTTCCGTGAGACTCTGACAGTGTTCTATCACTATGTAGCTGACATAGAACCCCTCTGTAGTCCCCCGATGTTCCTTGAGCTTCTTGGCCACTCCAGTCATGGTACCGCCAGTGCCGGTGGACCTCGTTTGCAGACGTTATGGCCCTGACTGTTTCAGAAAAGGGGACCCCGAAGCTTTGCCCCGGGATTCCTGTCACAAGGCAAGGGAAAAAGGTTCCCCATAGTAAACCAAAGGCCTGTTGAGGAGTAACAGCTTGAACAGAAGATGACAGCAGAAAGCCGTGCAAAAAAGCACACGACTCCTCTCGTACATCTCATTACGGGGAAGCAGTGCATCCAGAACACATGATCATGTAGTCCAGCTTGCCTGCAATCGATCAGGAGTCATGGATGAAGCGGGTTGAGTAAAACAAACGCTGCCACATGTAGGCCGATGCCTTCCCTACCTTTATCCAACCTTCGGAGCCTGCTGTCAGAGATGAGCCAAGAACAAGCTGAAAGTCTTGAAGCTCAGCCTTCTGTTACAAATTGGACCCCGTAAGGCCATCGACCCTTCTTACAGGATAAGATGACATGGAAATTTCCCCAAACAGCTCAGAGACTTGCGGCATTGCCCAACTTAGGAACCGTTGCAAAGCCGTCAAGCGATTCCGTAGGAATGTAGAACTTCGTGAAGAATGCGTTTAGGGGAGTCCTCATGAAAGGCCTTCGACTTACTAGTGTGCACTTGGCAGCTGTAGTCCCAATATTATTCTCTATATAACCCCAATATATACCCTAATAATCCCTATATAATCCCTTCACGGGGTCTGATATCGATTCTCTGCTAAGCCATGAACCCTACAGTAAACACTGGTAGCAGCACCGTTCGCACCTGGAGCTCAACCATCCGCACTTTGCCATTTATATTGGGACTATATAGGGGCAATATTGGGATAATGGGAAATAAAATGAAAACTACTATAGTATATGGGGGTTATAGGTATATATTGGTGCAATATTGGGATAATGGAAAATAAAATGGAAACTACTGTAGTATATAGGGGTGATAGGGTATATGTTGGGGTTATATGGGGATAATTAATGGAAAATAAAATGGAAACCATCTGCACTTCCAACAATTCCATCAGCACCACCCACCCGGCCATCTGCACTTCCCACAGCAGCCAGTCCAGCAACACCAGCTACACTCCCAACAAATGCTTGCGGGCCGCGTGGTCCTACAGCACCCTTTCTCCAGGACCTGGAGGCTTACGATTTCATTTTCCCTTCCTTCATTCCCTACTGACCACTCGTGAGTGGATAACCGGAGCCTTCGCACTGCTCGGCGATCTCCTCGGCAGTGCCGTCATAGTGCGCCAGCGGGTTGCCCGCGTTCTTGTACTGGTCCAGTACGTGGCCACCTTCGGAGCAGTAGCCATGTGGGGTGGGTTCTTGGACTAGGGGACCCCTCTAGCTACCCAACAGAATCTGGGGGTCCGTCTTTGGAGCGTGTAAGGATGTTTCTGAAAAACACCCATGATGGTGTGACCACCAAACCGACACAAGCGTCCTGGTGGCAATGACGATGATACCATCTTTGGAGGGGAGAAGAAACTGAGGCAGTTGTGGGGATGAGGGCTGGCGCGCCAATGATTGCCTTGGTTGTAGCATACGCCTCCAAAAGTCAAGACAGTAGCACTCTTGGGCTGGAAAGCGGTTTTGTGAGTGTCTTCACTGTGCCTGGTGTCACCATTCCAGGTGCTGCTACTCCTACCACCACTACAGGACTATCCACTGCTGTCCTCTACCCTAAACCCTAAACCCTAGACCCTAAGAACCACTTCTGTAGCCACTGGGCCCCTGGCCCAGGTCCTTGGCCAGGCGGGCCGAGAGGAAGATATGGCTGTCCTCCGCATCCCAGGCAGCCTCAAGCGGAAGAGAAACAGAAGCGGCCTAACTTGACCTAACAGGCTGGTGCAGGCAAATGAGATAGGGGTCTTGATAGGAGATGCCAGAATCGGAAAAAATTGATCTCAGTCCCCGGTCGAATAGAAGGCCTGGTTGAGGAATGGAGCCCAAGACAAGCAGCACAGCTTGAAAGAGAAGGGGGACACAAAGCACGCAAGCAGGCCCAAACACCACACGGGCAAGACAAGGCCAGATGGCACAAATCCTTGCTTCAAAATCTGGGTCTACGGCATTTCCCGGTTTCGTTTACGTGTTTCATGTTTTGCTTCAAGTGCTGAAGCCGTCGCTCCACCGGCTGTAGAAGCAGTGGCTTGGCTGGCTTTAGCAGACAGATCCTTCTACAGAACCTGGCAGAGGAGACATCAGCGGAAGCCAAACTGACTGGGATTCATCAGGCCAAGTTTCGTTGAAGGGGTTCCAGTAATGCCACACTGTAGTCTGTAGTGTTGCAGGCACAAGAAACAGTTGCCCAGCTTGAGCAAGAAGCCTCTGTTGGCGTGCGGAGAATCTCCGCACCAAGGCACTTCATCGTGTTCACCTTCTCGCCAGACATCTTCCTGGGAAGGATAAGTCGACAAAAGGAAGGTGACAATGTACTGGCAGCATGCACACGCAGAGCGGATCTGGGCATCTGGCTGCGGCAGGCAGATGATCTGCTTGTAGCCTGCCAGTAATTCAATTCGATCCTTCTGTAGCCGGAAAATCAAAACAATGTGGCGCAAAAGCCAATAAGGGAGCCCAGGCCCAAAGTGCTAAATATTTAAGCCCGGACCGCGGCCCAGATCTTGGAAATGTGTCAATGCTCAAGGTGTGCTGTACCAATGGGAGCCTTTGATTGCCGAGACGAGGCAAAGCCCAACGCCAGTGTTGCCGCTAGTGGCCTCAATGAGGATGTCACCTGAGTAGCACTAGTTTTTGGTGGTTGAGGCAAGTAAGAATATGTTGGTTTTTATAAAATACGAATACCCAAAGGATAATGTAATCTCGCTCTCTGCGGGGATGATAGCTAGCCCCAACTAAAATACGACTTGCCGCGGCATCTCTTCCTGAGCTGAGACACTCACGACAATCAAAGGTAGCAATGAAAGCCGCCAACATGTGAAACTGAAGCAATGTACTTCGTGTCGGGGGCCCGTAATTGGGGACCAAAGACGCATTGGTGGATTACAGAGGGATTCCAGGGGTCCCTTATGACTAAGGACTGAACTAAGATTCTGTAAGGGTAATTTTCAGAATCTCCCAGTTGGTAATCTCGTAGGAAATAAGGAAGCGTAATCCCTATATAATCCCTACGTACTACATTCCCTTATTCCCAGCTACCCCCAGAAAGTATAATATCCCAATATAATCACTCATCCCCAGTGTACTATAGTGGTTTCCATGTTCTTTTCCAGCGCTTATTCCCGATATGTAATCCCAAAATGTACATACGTCTAAACACCTTCTGCTTTACAAAATGCACCCACTGAGGGCAGGGCCGGGCTTGATTCGGCCGCTCCTTGCTGAAAGCACTTGGATCCACAAACCCTAAACCTACCATGGGGAATAATGGAACATAGATAGGGTTGAAAGGTTTGGGTTTCTGGCGCGTGGTTAGTGTGGGGAACAAGGGAATGCATTCTGAGAGGATTATACAAGGATCATGCTACCTTCTTCCCTACTAACCATCAGTAAGTAAACCCTGATTTTCCGTGCATCCAAAAGTTATTCTGATGAATATTCTGGAAGGAGGTTTTTGGGCCTGGAACTAATGCTACCACCATGACTGTTTGACCATCAGGAATGAGTACCTCAGTCCTCGGTCTATGCAGCTCCCAGAATTTGTGTGACGCGCTCTTGTCGAGATTGTTCAAGCCCAGGAGAGGCGTAGGAGGCATTTAGGTGTAGGGCTTTTCACAACGTGAACGGATTCTTTTGGGTAGTTCTCTTGCTATGCAGGTCTTAGAGTCCTATACAACTTCTTTTGCGGACACCATTCAACAAAGTACCCCTCAGCCAAGAGATGACGGTCAAAAAACTCCATGCCTACATGCCGAGTTGCTTCTCAGCCTCCTCAACCATTCTCTTGGCAATGCGGTCCTGACTTCGACTGCGTCTGCTTGTGTTGCATTCTTTGGTGAGGCTTCCGGCTTCCGGCTGGTTTGTTTGGGATTTGCACTCAGAGACTTAGGGTCCCAAGCTTCCGGAAAGCCTCACTCAGACCCCTCCACGGCTGGCCTTCACAGATCCGCCTGCGTTGAAGAGCTCAACCTGCCAAGATTCTGGCTGCGTGCGCTCAAGTTGCAGGAGTAATGGCTCTAACAGACGAACCAAGCACCAACCACATGATGACCGCTGCTGCACCCGCTGTGAAAGGAAGACAGCACGAGCAGCATAAGCACGAGGAGGTGGAGTACAGCATGACGAAGCAGGAGGAAGAGAAGGATATCGAGTCCAAGCAGGAGCACGGGAAGGAGACCGTGAAGGTCATTTAGTCAATTCCGCGAAGCTCCTGCCGGAGCAACCCTTCGAACCATGAAATCCACCCTTTGGGCCCTCCCAGCCCAGGAGATAATGTGATCCTTGACTGTACCGCCTTGGCAAGACAGATTGGAAATGTCTTGCCGGGTGGTAAAGAAGAGCGAGGAGGACAGACTTCTTACGAGAAAAATGGCAAAGGGATCGTTTCAGAAAACCGAACCATTGGCGTGACATTTACCGCTAACGCCCAAAACTCTTCGCCCCATCAAAAACACGAATGGGCCAAGGCCTTGCTCAGCAGTTCGCACTCAACATCCTCAGCGGTCAGGACTCAAGCAGGCCTTGCTAAGGGTACGGTTCCTGCTTTAAGCCTCCAACGAATGCCACCACCCTTTCTGCACTGCAACTGCCACCAGTGCTGTTAGCAGCACGACCCACCATGAAAAAAAATACCTGCAGTTATAATCAACAATAGTAGTGGTAAAGATTACTAGGACTTGCAAAGAACTGAGGGGAACCACTTGTGACAAATCTGCATGACTGTAGGCTCTTTGCCCTTGAACACCCCAAATGCTGAACCGTTTGCATGGCCAAGTGGCAAAGAACTTGGCAAATCGCGACATGCGAACCATCCTCACGAATTCACAGCTAGCGGGGGTTGGGTGAAAGCCTTGACATAGCAGTTTGAATCCACACTGTGCTTCATTCCCTACATATTCCCCTACCCTATAATAATTTCTATGACCACTCCCCCGCACTCCCCCAATATAACCTCAATATACTATAGTAGTTTCCATGTTCTTTTCCATTCTCCCTATATAGCCCCTATATAACCCTAATATTACCCCGATGGGTGTATAGCTAAAGGAAAGCTCTGAAGCTGCAGGCCAAATGCGGGGTGAAGCCGATCAGGTCCAGAGCGGAATCGCAGATCTTCTCGTAGGGCCTGCTTTCAGGGAGGTCTTACGTTGGGATAATAGAAAAGATAATGGAAAGCTACTAAATTATAGGGGTTTATATAAAGGCTAATATGGGAATTATATAGGGATCTATATTCTGGGGCTGAGCTGTTAGCAGCAGGGTTTAGGGTGTAGGCTTGTGGTATAGGGCGCTTGTTTCTTCAAACCCCGGAGACGCTTTTCCAAGGTTTGGGCTTGGGGTTTGGAGGTGGAGTTTAGGGTTTAGGGTTTAGGGTTGGGTGCTTAGGCTTGGATGTGGAGGCTGCCACTGCCCGGGGCATTCCAAGGTCCCTGAAGCTGCCAAAACCACCTAAACCCAAAACCCCAAATAGTTTAGGGTTTAGGGTGTTATCTCTATAGAACCCCAATATACTATAGTAGTTTCCATTTTCTTTTCCATTATCCCAATATGACCCCAATATCCCTATATAATCCTAATATAAGCCTATATATCCCTTTAAAGGGACCTAGGGTTTCCATTTTCTTTTCCATTATCCCAATATGACCCCAATCTACTATAGCAGTTTCCCCATGTTCTTTTCCATTAACCCCCACCCTAAGAGCTCACCCAGGGTTGAAACATGGAAGCCTAAGAAAAGGCGACGAGGAGACCATGAACACAGGGGTTATATAGGAGTATATTGGGGTTATATAGGGATAATGGAAAAGAAAATGGAAACTGCTGGAGTATATTGGGGTTATATAGGGATAACGGAAAAGAAAATGGACACTATAGTGATTATATATGATAGGGTTTATATAGGGATTATAAAAGCCTCCACAGGTTATGGGTGTTGTCTCAAAATGCGGCCATTCCCTCCCCCAAAAAATGCTGCCCACAACGTGGGCACAGCCCCTGATCAAGATGTCCCAACTGTAGAATATCCTCACCCAACCCCTGAAGCCTAGTTTTCAGAAGTATTGCAAAGTTGCCCTGCTGGCATTCCGCCTGGTGTTGAGGGTTTTCGCAAGGTATCACGAGGGGTATGCTTCAAACCGAGCTTCGCAAGTATGACTGTCCCCCATTTTGGAGTGCTCCCCAAGCCAACCCCAGAAGTTCTCAACAAAAACGTTGTCGTCGCATCTGGTAAGATGAATCTATCCTGAGTAGCTTCCGGGAACCATTGAATAAGAACCTTGAGCATAGCTTTGGTCATTCAGCTGTAGGTGCTGTAGGTCCGTCTAAACTCAATCCTCATCTAGCCCTTAACGTGAATCTCTTTTGGGTGTGAAGTATTCTATATATGCCAAGCCAATCCCGGAGGACTTTGCTCCTTCTTCCGGGATGGTATGCCCCAATGCTAAGGCCCATTAGCAACAGCAGAAAATGCAGGATCTTCTTTGCAGGCGCATGTTGAAAAACCTTCACTTCTGCCCGCCTTCCACCCTTGATGGCGCCTACAGACAGCTTCTTGAAGTCGCCATCAATCTCTGCATCCCATCCGACCTCAACAAAGTAGGGGCTAGGTAGGGGTTTGAGGTCAAGGACTATTATGTGCCAAGGCTACATGCCTTTGTACAGAACAGGAACAGGGTTGTATCTTCCTTCCGTAATACATGGGCTCCTACATGGAACGGACTCTTGCTCCGTCTACAAGAAAGTCGTCAGCAAAAGAACAACCACAGCACTGTCAATTCCCGATCTCCCACCTGACAAAAAATCATTGTAGCCCCCCCCCCGGTACCCCCTGCAACCCCCTAAATGGTATCACCCCAAACCCTAAACTGCCCCTCCCGGATCCTACTGCAGCCGAGAGACATAGTTGGGGGCCTTAACCTCACCTTCCTTGGCCGGATCGTAAGTCATCTTCTGCATCTCGCGCCTCAGCAAGGGGCCGGAATTGCAAGTTGATGCATGGGGAAGACAGAGGTATATATGGGAATCACAGAGGGATTATGGGGGGATTATGGGGGGGGTTCTATTGAGAGGTGAGGGTATCTTTCTGCCACCCTCGCACCCTAAACCCTCAACCCTCGGCCCTAAACCCTTAACCCTAAACCTGAACCCTAAACCCTGAACCTTAATGGAAGGCCGTGGGACTGAAGACTTTGGTATTGCGTCTTAAAAGCAGGCGATCCGAAGTAAATTGGGACAATCCGAATCCTGGTAGTTTCTCTGAAAGGGGGGAACCCACTATAGACCCTAAATAATCTCATCCTTGCTATGGAGATCCCCCAAAATGGCACCCCTAAATTTGGGGAAATCTCCTCTTTGGAACCGTCTTGTATTTCAGAGCTCATGGTGGTGAATGCCCGCCACTTGCCAACGAGCTACGCGCGAGCGATCACGGGATCCACCGCTGCAATGAAGCGGCTCTGAGGCATCATGGTCTTCAAACTCAGCGACGCGGCGCAAATTTGGGAATACCAAAAAACAGCAAACAAAATACAGCTCTCAATAGAAATGTGCAATTTACAAGGCGGATCATTTTTTTCGTTGTCTGGGTCGCCACCACTATCCCTCAAAGTGACGTCTTCTTTGCAATCAGGTGCAACGACGAAGTGTCATGAAGTGGTTGGAGTGGTGAGGTCCTGTCTAGATTGAGCTTTACCAGTCACCAAGAATTCACACTCCTGAACCACACTCGCTAGAAAGCGGCAGTCTCAGGTGCCAACCCAAAACGCTGCACGCCGGACAGAGCGGCCTTTCCGAAGCGCGACCTTAGCACGCTGCAAGGATGACTGTCCTCATCAGTAGTGAGGGCAGCAACGGCTACAGCAAAAAATCTGGCATCTTGTACAGCGGCCAAGGCGCATGACAGCAGGCATGGCGAGGATTTCGGCGAGAAGATTCTGCTCTACACTGGTCTGAAATTCTTTGATCTATACTTGGCAGCGCACATGGCATCCACGAAGCAATCACACGTAGCCGACACCGTCAAAAAACACCAAGTCGGAGGGCAGGGCGGTCCACAGAACAACGGTCCGAACATTGAGCGGGTTGCCATGAAGGAAACTTGTTGGAACTACTATAAGAAGGAAACCCCATAATTTACTATATACCTATATTATGGAAATCGAATTTAAATTGATTAACAGCAGCCCAGTTGAGTCCCCATCTGTGTGATTAATCTGGCCATCTCTTGCCTTGGAGCTTCTTTATCAAGTCCAACACGTCCATCCAAACGAAATGTACAAAGAGCGAGTGAGTGTGTGCCGCTCTCTACTTATCTACATGGAATACTTCATCTCAAATGTACATTCGAATAAGGATCACCTGCTTCGCCCAAAGTAACGTGATTCAGGCCTCTGGATCGCCCCAGAGCTGCAGGACAGATTTGCATAACTCCTGCCCCAGCCTTTGCTTTCAGGAAAAGGCCTGGGAAACCCGAACTTCACAAGGACTTCAGAAATCAGATTTCTTTGGACTCGTTTCTACAAGGAGTTTGCCCTTTGGGAGACATGAATACTGCTGGATGCCCTCAGCTTGAGAAACAATCAAACGTCCTCAGACCGCGGGCTGCTGCGCGCAGCACGCGGCACAACCTGAGAAAAGCAGATCACCAGCTTCCTTACGGCAAGCTTCTCCATCATTTCACGTAGTGTTGATGAGAGTCATGCACGCATGTTCTGTTTTACATGTGTACACATATGAATATATATATGTATGTACACACACACACACATGAGTTCATGCACACCCGAAACCCTCGAAGGAGCCTGGGCTTAGATCGATGCAGGTTTTCAGTGCAGCGTTTTGGTCAACAGGATCAGGGCTGGGCTAGGGCAGAGTCCTGTGAACTGAATGTCACACTTTGGGGAAGAGTTCAGATGAGCTATTGTCTAAACTCCTTAAGAGGGAATATACAGGGGTTACTGAGGGGAATACTAGGAGTTAAGGCTCACAGAAGAATCTCTATCATCTTGAAAGTCACTGTCTCGCTCTGACTCCCTGGCAAGCAATCTGTGCTCCTCGGAAGTACCATTGCGGGATCATGCTGAAGATTGCAGTTTTCAACTCTAATACTATCCTAAACTCTAAACCCTAGACCCGCTTCTGATCAATCTTTAGGTGTCATTTCTTTCAATGGCTTATCCAATAGAGCGGAATGCGGGGAATCCTAGACCCTAAACCCTAAAGCCTATAATCTCGGAATCCTATAAATTAGCTTATGAACCCTAAGCCCTAAACCCTTAACTGAGGTCTGCACTCCTTCTGAGCTCATTGCAGAGGCTCTTGGCCCATCTTCTGGAAGACTCCAAGCCCCAGGGCTGAAAACATGATATGTGGTTTCGGGCTTATGCTTTAGGATTTAAAGTTTAAGATTTTTTGCGGCCCCCTTAAACTTAGGGTTTTGGGCTTAGGCCTTACGGATATATGGGGATCTTCTTACCTCAATAAGTCAATAAAAAAGAATCACATGGGAAAGAGAATGGAAACTGAGATTATGCAATGGCTTATGGCGAACTATGCGCTCATGAAATATCATTGCGAGAGTCCCCATAAGTAAGCTCATAGTAGATTTGTCCTTATTTACGGAAACTCCCTTGTCAACTAGCATGTAAATTAACTGCAAAACTGCCCAAAATCAAAGTGTTGCTCAGTGAGGTGTGTTGTGCTGTCTCAACCATGTTTTAACATGGGAGGTTGTCGAACTCATGATCTATTTGGAGGGGCTGTCGCATATTGGTCTCTAATTTCTAAGGTACCCAAGAAGGAACCGTACTTTTGACAACTGCGCACATGTGAAGTAACAAATTTGTGCATGGAGATCACATGTGGCTCTAGGCTTCAGAGCCCTGACACAGCGCAAGGTCACAGAGGTGGCTTCTCAGAGAAGAGGACCCTATGCTAGGGATATGCGGGGGTTATGGTGGGACTATGGGGTCCTGATAAAACATTCTAGAGGTTATAACGGAAAGTTTGGTCAACTCCCTAACTGCTTGGGCGTCAGTGCCTTCTGCAAGAATGGGATAGTGGAAAAAGGGAGTTTCACATAGCTTCTAATCACGAGAATTCTTCGTCCTCCTGATCTTACGGCTAATCCTACTGCCACCCTTCCTCCTGAAAAACTCGTTCTAAGTATGAGAACCTCATTCCCCACAACTGCCAGAAGAACCTGCACCTTCACCCCAAGCCCGAACCCTTCAACCCGAAACCCTTACTAAACCCGAAACCCTAAACCCTGAGCCCTCAAATCCGAACCCTTAATCCTGACCCGGAGCAACCCACCTTCCCCAGCTGGTGGGAGCCCACGGCACGAGCCAAGCGAGCCTCCAAGAAACATCCAGGCTTGGAGATCTTAGGGCTTCAAAGCTCTCAGATTTTTAGGGTTCAGAGGCAGGGGGAGGGGTGTTTGGGGTTCAGGGTTTAATTAGATTGGTTTATAGCTTTGGGGCTGCAGGGTTTTAGGATCTTGCAATTTGGGGCAAAAAGTATTATGGCCCGTAGCCTACAGGTCTGCAAAAGAACATAATTATGGGAATTCAGGGCTTAGGGGTTTTGAGAAGCCCCGAGATTGCGAATCTCTCAGATTTAACACGCATCTGCAAGGGGCAAAGCAGGTAGATACTCCGTGCACCTGCTTCTGGGATCGCGCTTTCCTTTAGGTTTCTTGGCACTGCATTGCAAAGATGGTTGACTATAACATTCCCCATCTTCACACTTCTGCAGTATGAGCACACAACGAATGCACTCTGCCGTCTTTCGCATTTTTCTTAATTTTGAAAAGCTGCGAAGCTGTTACACTGTCCTGGGTTTCGGCCCAATGGGAAGGCTAGAAGAGGCACGTCTTGCACATGCCAGACTTCAAGCTTTGCTTGCGAACAGCAGACAGTCTGTACACTGTACACCCTCGCCATGCTGGCGACAACAATTGCAAATTACTTAGCTATGTGCACGCACCAGGCTTCTTTGGGAGGAACACATGCGGAAAGTCAGGCTGCCGCACGAGGAAGTCCACGTAAGCCTTGCTGCCAAATCTGCCTTCTGGCACGGCAGCTGCAGCATCGCGCTGCTGATGGCCCAGTGTCACGGCTTCCAAGATGACCTGTCCAGCCATTACCAGCACAGAGTGACCATGCTCCAGAACAAAGTTGACGACACCGCAGCCCCGCCTTTCCCGTGGGGCCGCGTCTTGAGGTAGAAACCAAGCAGCGCCGGTGCGAACAGGATGTTTCGGCGTGACCCAGACTCCGCTAATGTTGCACATATCACAATATTCCCTGCCCCAAGTGACACATACAATTCTAGCAGGACCGGAACCAGTCTGGACCACATCTCCAGCTCGCAAATCGCCGGCTCGCACAAACCCCGAGGGAGACAAAAGTAGACAATCCTCGTCGAGACAAGCTGTCCTTTCTGCATCATTAACCTCTATCTGCTGGTCTGCAATGCTTCGAAAAGCCTCGACACTTCCATCCTCGAGACGGGCCAGATACGTGCCTGGCCGCGTTGGATCTTTAACAATGCCACGTCCACGGCCACCTGAAGTTGAAGTGAATATGGTTGCACAGACTTCGGGGCTCGGCGCCGCTGTCCCCTGTGCAGCCGCCCACTTGCAGTAGCGCATCGCTGCGTCCCTGATTCTTTTGTAACTCTCCAACATCTCCGGAAACACGCTGCTGAGTGTTGTGCACTGGCTTGTCAAGGAAAGTTTGTCCAACTGGGCTCTTCTGAAATCTTGCGCAGCGAAGTCCTCGGCAAGCGCCGAGTCCGACGGCTGCATAGCAGGCAGCCGAGCAGCTGCGGCCTTTGCAAAGACCTTTTGAATGCTGCACCTTACGAGCAATGCTTCGGACTTCAGAGATTGCGAGAGGAGATCGAAGAAGCATTGAGGTGCCCCGGTGAAGAGAGCCTGACCCATAGCAAGCGCCTCTGCTCGCAGAGCTTGGCCAAATATCGTGTCATCACCGAGTCTTAAGTCCAACACCGACTGATTGATGCCTGAAAACAACCGCCGGATGGCCTGCTCCACTTCAGACGCCTTCTTCTTCGTGTATTTGGATGGAGCTTTCAAGTATGGGGCCACAATCATCTCTCTGACCAACCGTGTCTGCATAGCGAGGTCGGCCCATGCCGGGGGCAAACGGCTCTTCACATCATGCTTGACCTTCTCAGTCTTCTCAAACTTCGTGTCCTTCCGGTCCTGCTTGCGGTCGATAGCGGCTTTTTCAAGTTGCCGAGCCCTAGCATCTGCTGACCGGAAGGCCGCCAGAAGCTTCTGAGGCTCTGGAGCATCTGCGTCTGCGGCAGCCGCGGACGACTGACCAAGGACCTCGTCGAGGGTTTGGCTTTGTAGGCTGTCCACGGTGACTATTGGACCAACTCGCTCGTCTCCTTTGATCAAGCTCCGTTGCCACAGATATCTGCCATGCGAACTACATGT